CGAAGGGTTAACTGATGGCACGACACGCAGTGAATTAATCTGAGAAGATGTATTAAAAATAAATGGCCGGGCCACCGGTGCACATCGCAAATTAGCTCGCATAGACATATTAGTTGTGCTGCTTCTTAATGACGGTATCTTAGCTAACAACCCCAACTACCAGATTCAACTTTTAATTGCCTAAAAATCACTGAGCCTACCGGTGAGAAGGACGTTGCTAGCTGGCAGTTTTTTCAAGCAATGTTGAAATTTCCACATTCCAACACTTCAAATGCTTCAGGAGCTCAGCGTAGCATCAGCACCACGGAAATACACACAAATATAATACTGCACTGTGCCAACATCTGCAAACAAATATAGTTCTATAAAGTGGTTCTATATAGTGTGTAACTGTTGATATAGAGCGTTATTAAATTTATTGCTAATGCAATGGTTGATATGGCACAGTGACTTCTGGGGAAATTTTAGATGGCACTCATCATCAGAAAGGTTGCCGACCCATGGGAGAAAGGACCCCAGGTTTGGAAAAAAGGAGCAGCAGAACTGCATATGCATTTTTCTGCTGTGTTACAACTCACTCACTCAAACTCACCAGAGTTTGGTGTTTGATTGCAGTCCGTGCTACAGATAAAAGAATAGCCTGTGACGAAGAGTTCTCCGACTCTGAGGATGAAGGGGAGGGAGGCAGGAGGAACGCAGCCAATCACAAGAAAGGAGCCAAAAGGCCCAGAGTGGACGAGGACAAACAGGAAGGAGAGGAGAAGAAAGCTGGTTGGTTACTTTGATGCTTACTCGATTGTTGTTATTAACAGTGTAACAATGTGTAACGTTGGTTGTGATTAAAAGGTTTCTTTCTTCCCCATTTTTCCCACCTTAGATATAAAAGAAGAAGAGAAGACAAAAGACAGCAGTGCTGAGAAGACTGACTCAAAGAGGTGAATGTTTGAATTCATTCACACACTGAGTGTTCTCGCTCCTTTTTAAATGCAGTTACTGCATGCTTTTTCAAACTGAGTATGAAGTTGTGTTGTGCATGACAAGCAGAGCTTTTATATGCACAAATCTGATTAGGGCACAATACTTCAAAGATGTGGAGAGACTGTGGGATTGTTGTCATTTTTTAATGAAGTTATTTTACTGTGACATCAAAACACAAAAGATGCTTCAGAAACTCAAGTAAAAGTCATATTGGGCAAACCAAAGCGCGAGTGCGGTCAGCTGTTGCTCTGATCCTGAGCTGTACCTTGCTCAACCACTGGGCTACCACAGTATGTGCACACATTAGTAGCCTGTTGTTCTAATGTTATATGTAGCCAGTACTTAACTCATCACTATAGCAACATTTCTGTTGTTTAAACTAATCGATTTTCCTTCCTCCGCAGTGTGAAAACCGAGCAGACCAGCAGTACCTAAAGTGTTCCTATCCAAAGATCTTAACTGGTGCTGTCCAGCTTCGAGGATCCTGCACTTCCCCGAAACACCATTAAGAAGCATTATATTTATTATGACTCTTCGTTTTCTACTTGTAAATTGTCTCTTTGTGTTGTGTGTGAGTGGTTATCCTGAATTCAGCCCTTGAATTTGCCAGATTTGGTTCTCTTTAAACCATGTGAATCCAATGTGCTTGATCTTCTGAATCAGCTCTTTTGTCGTTAAACAAGGGTTTAAACCCTTACATGAACCTGTAATGATTTTACAGCTGAATTTTAATATTTTGTTTTTGTCAATAAAATTTTTTTATACTGTTGTCTTTGAGATTGTTGTTGCAGCTCATCATAGAGTCATGTTCTGAACATGTTCAGCCACAAGGGGGCTTTCTAACCTGGGAAAAGGCATCACAGTACAAGCAATTTATTTCCCAGACACAGGTGGAATGAAGGATTATTACTGGCATGCATATGTAATGCATAGCTTTCATACAGTGTTGCTGTGATGGAAGCCCACCTCAGGCAGTAACTAGGAGTAACTAGTGTATCCGTTTTGCTGGACAACACCCTGCAGTTGTTTGTTGTAGTTTTCAACGAGTCATGCGCATGTCTCCTGAGCAATCCCATTCTTTGACAAATCTCTCAGGCTTCTCCATATTTGATGGTCTTCTGGCATGTACCTTGCTCTTTAGTTCAAAAATCCCTGAAAAGCCTTCAGTTGATCCAAAATGCTGCAGCAAGAGTACTGACAGGGACTCGAAAGAG